GGGAAAGAGGAGAAGAAGGAAAAAAAGATACAAGTATCAGAGAGGAAGGGAGGCAGTTTTTATTTGTAAATGGAAGCTTTTCTCTTAATCCTCTTGAGTTTCCTATTAGAACTGACAAGAGTTCAGTAGACTGTGGCTACAGAGAAGATACAGTGTAAAAACAAGCAGTAACCAACTTGAAAATCTATGGGGAAAATGTCCCATTTAGATAGTATCCAGTGTGAGAATACTGAGGAATAAACAAGAAATATGCAAGTTTCCTGTATGAAGGAAACTAATTTTAACCAAAGAAAGTGAGAATGAGCTAAATAAATGGAGAGACATACTGTGTTCTGGATGAGAAGGCATCATTCATGTATTCTTAACTGTCTTGTAACTGTTACCTCCCCTGCTGCTGGCACAGAGTGAGTGCTTGACAGCTACTTGTGCTGGGGCGCTGTTTTGGGTGCTTGGTGGACCATGGTAAAGACCACCTTAATTAGTTTAACTTAGGGAGAACGGACATCTTTACAGTAGTCGACCTCTGTTAAAACCAAAATACCAGGGCTTCCCTGGTGGTGCAGTGGTTGAGAGTCCGCCTGCCGATGCAGGGGACACGGGTTCGTGCCCCAGTCCGGGAAGATCCCGAGGCATGGGCCCGTGTGCTGCAGAGTGGCTGGGCCCGTGAGCCATGGCCACTGAGCCTGCGCGTCCACAGCCTGTGCTCCACAACGGGAGAGGCCACAACAGTGAGAGGCCCGTGTACTGAAAAAACAAAACAAAACAAACTACAAATAAAACTACCATAAGACCCAGCAATCCCACTACTGGGCATATACCCTGAGAAAACCATAATTCAAAAGGGAAAGACTCTGAGATAAAATGTGAGCAGAGACCCAATAGTGTAACAGTGCCCTTTCCTTTCTAATTTGTTATATAACTAGACTTAGTACAATTCCGATGGGAATTATTGGAGGCAGGGTGTTCATCTGTAAGAATAGCCAGAACAGTTTTGAAAAGGATGAATAGTGAGGAGGATGGTCTTCCCAGACAACAAACAGTAATTAAAACATTGTGGTGTCGGCACAGGAAGAGGTGGTACAGAAAAGAGGCTAGCAGGACCCCTGCTGCAGCAGCTGCTAGACAGGCTCTGGACTGTACCGTGAGCTGGCTGTAGCTACACTGTGCTTCTCAAGAAAATGTGCTGGGGTGCAAGTGAGTGAGACTGACACAGTCGTAGGGATGGCTGCCTTGGATATACTCTATAATTTTAAAAAGTTCACAGATTTAGTACTTTATTGTTAGTAATAACTTGCTGAACTAGATGCTCTTACTGATCCCTTCCAGTCTCTAATCTTCTGTGATTCTGTCATCTTCTGGGAATCTTATATATCCTCCCACTGTTACTTTTATTCCTGGAGAGGAGACTCATCAGTGCTCCTCAGGGTTGGTTCCTCCCTGTACATCCCAGAAGCCTCCATCTTCCTTCAGAGCTCCACTTTCTCTCTCATGAAGATCTAAGGATTCCATTTCCTTATGTCTAAAATGGGGATGGGGATGGTGATATCAGCCTGATGAGATTATTACGAAGGTGTGGAAAATCACACATGTGAAAGAGCTCTGTGATCTCTGAAGCACCATAGATCATAAGGGATTATTACAGAGTCCCCTGTCTTCAGCGTTCTTGGCAAAGTCAGAATGGGGCTACCTTCCTGTTCCCTCTGTCTTGACCAGCGTGAGGTGAGGTTAAGGAAGTGGTGGCCCTGGTACAAATCTGGTCCTTCTCCTCTGTCCCTCTCCCCAGGTGAAAGTCAGTTCTTCTGTGCTGAAAGCTGCGGCCCATCACTACGGAGCTCAGTGCGATAAGCCCAACAAGGAGTTCATGCTCTGCCGGTGGGAAGAGAAGGACCCGAGACGGTGTTTAGAGGAAAGCAAGCTTGTCAACCAGTGTGCCCTGGACTTCTTTAGGTAATATCTTTTCACGTCAGTGCCCACTGGTTGCAACATCAAGATATATGTATCTCCGTGAACATCCAGCTAATTAAATGGAAGGATAATTTTACTAATTTTAGTAGGGAATGGAAGGCTTTGCAATCACATAGACCAAAGTAGGGCACACGATAAATGAGAGTTCTTTATTATTTGACACTTTTTTTTTTTTTTTTTAAAGTATAGTTGATTTACAGTGTTGTGTTGGGACTTCCCTGGCGGTCCAGGGGTTAAGACGCCATGCTTCCAATGCAGGGGGCATGAGTTCCATCCCTGGTCGGGAAGCTAAGACCCCACGTGCCATGTGGCCTAAATAAATAAATAAAATTTCAATGTGTTAATTTCTGCTGTACAGCAAAGTGATTCAGTTATATATATATATATTCTTTTTCATATTCTTTGCATTATGGTTTATCACATGATATTAAATATAGTTCCCTGTGCTATACAGTAGGACCTTGTTGTTTATACATTCTGTATATAATAGTTTGCATCTGCTAATCCCAAACTCCCAATCTTTCCCTCCCCCATCCCTCTTGGCAACTACAAGTTGGTTCTCTACATCTGTGAGTCTGTTTCTATTTTGTAGATAAGCTCATTTGTGTCATATTTTAGATTCTACATATAAGTGATATCATATGGTATTTGTTTTTCTCTTTCTGACTTACTCAGTATGATAATCTCTAGGTCCATCCATGTAGCTGCAAATGGCATTAGTTTATTTTTTATGGCTGAGTACTATTCCTGTGTGTGTGTGTGTGTGTGTGTGTGTGTGTAGACCCCATCTTCTTTATTCATTCCTCTGTCAATGGACATTTAGGTCACTTCCATGTCTTGGTTATTGTAAATAGTGGCAAGTTCTTTAATCTCCATGAACCCCAACTTCCAAATTGTAGAGTAATACCTATCATAAGATTGTTGTGAGAAATTTGAAAAGGCACATAAAAACAGCTTAGCACAGGGCTTGCTTATAGGCATTTACTATATTGTTATCATTATCATTACTACAGAACACACAGTTATGATGGAAAGGAAAGGTGTTCAGAGTCAAGTGTTTAGGTAGGCCACTATACTTGATATAAGTAAAAAAAAATCCAAATTATAATTGTGGAAAAATGTTTTAACCATATTAGTCAGAACTCTATTAAAAAGGACAGAAACTCAACTCAGAGGGAATTGGCTCATGTCACTGTAAAGTCCAGAAATAGGACTGGCAGGACTGGATTCAAGGGCTTAAATAATTTCACACCTACTTCATATCTTTTTGCTTCACCTCTTATCCCCCACCCCCAGTTTCTTAGTCCAGCTTTCTCTGTCAAATTCATTTTCAAAGAGACCCTCTCCTTGCTTTAGCAGCAATGGCCACCAGCCAGTCCAAGCTGCTGTGCTCCTTGCTTAGCAGACCCAGACAAAGAGTGCCACCCAGTAGCATGAGCAGTGGTCCCTGGACTGAGTCTCATTGGCCTGGCTGGTCAACTTCATGAGCATATCTTTGAATCAGTTGTGTTTCAGGAGGTAAAATGCTGTGAGTGGTCAGGCCTAAAGTGGGGAGTAGACTTAGATTCATCTAAATCACATTGCTGAGCGATAGGGAGGGGTTGTTCCCCAAAGGAAAATTTGAAGGATGTTCCAGAAGAATAGAGAATGACTGCTGGCTAGGCAAAACCCACAGATGTCCCTTACAATGACTCTAGAGGAAAAATAATTGCTTTACACAATAGCTGCTTTCCTTCTTTCTTGCTTCTGCTGTCTTTGTCCACGTGCAGAGATATTTTTGTGCTTAAAGTCATGGTGTGTGTACATTTGAAAATTCATTTTTTCACTTGAAACTATTGGAAACATTCAAGTTGCTCTGTCTTCATGATCATCATTTTTCATGGCTGTGTAATATTCCGTCAGTAGATAAACCAGCCATAATTTTGTTATTAAACATCATTTTTGATTGTTTTGGATAAATCTGCAGTGATTACATTTGTGTAGAGGTCATTTTCATTTTATAATTAATTCCTTGGCATAAATTTCTGAGCAGTGAGATTATTCTTTAAAAGGCTTTGAACATGATTTATGGCTCTTGAATTACAGTTGCAAGTTGGGTCAGTTTATGCTGTCCTCAGCCTGTATCCTGGTATCCCTCTCCAGCATTGCATATTGTTTAAATATTTGATAGGTACAAAATGATGTTTTGCTCTTGCTTGAATTTGCATTGATTTGATTGCTAATAAGGTGGAATGTGTGTTCCTTTAAAATTTTTTTATTTTCTAAGAGAACTTTGGCAAAGTATTTTTCCTTTGACTCAGAGGGAGCATGTTTAAGTGGGAAATGTTTGGATTTCACAAGCTCCTGAGGTGCTGAACTAGCTTGCTGTAAGCACTAGTAGGTAATTGTCTGTTAGTGTGGGTGCCAGGGTAACAGAGCCCAGAACATAGACCTAAGTACCAGAGTGATGGTTTGCAACCTTTCTTCCACTGCAGCATATTGGAGGAGTCTGAAACTACAGCTGGACACGGTTACTCACCACCATCGCGATTCTTAAGTCGAGGCTAGGGGGGTGCAGTTTTGTGTACCATAGAAATGCAGGTCGTTGAGGCTAGAGGTAACCCAGAAAAGCTTCCGAGGCTTTGACATTCCTTCTTCCTTCCTCTTAACACATCCCATCACCCCCAAGGCTATACTCAAAATACCTGCAAAGGGGGCTTCCCTGGTGGCGCAGTGGTTGAGAGTCTGCCTGCCGATGCAGGGGACACGGGTTCATGCCCCGGTCCGGGAAGATCCTACATGCCGCGGAGCGGCTGCGCCCGTGAGCCATGGCCGCTGAGCCTGCGCGTCTGGAGCTTGTGCTCCGCAACGGGAGAGGCCACAACAGTGAGAGGCCCGCGTACTGCAAAAAAAAAAATACCTGCAAAGGTATAAGAAACTGGTGCCCCTTGGTTGCCTCCCAGGAGGGGAACCGAGCAGGAACGGAAAGCCAATTTTTCTTTATGTATTTCCTTCGGCCACCTCCGAGGTTCTTCCCGAGACGCGTTAAATGCGATTCCTGTGTTGAGTGTAGCTGGATTCTTGGAGTGTGACAAGCGAATACTTCATTATTATTCCACCGGGGAAAGGAGGCGCTCCATGCTTCTTCCACTGCCTCAAATATGGCTTTTACATAAAATAACAGTATTTTATTCTCGTTTGACTTTGCATTTATTTGATTACTAGCAAAGTTGAATGGTGAGAGAAGGGGAATTTCGCAGAATAATGGAGCCTTATCCCTTTTATACACAAAAGTTAGTTTTTCTTCAGCCATTTCTGGTTACCACAAAATGAATTATATGCTATGTTGCTTCGTAACAGAGAGCAAATATAATTTAACTTTCTTCTTAATGACAAGGATTAATCTCTGTTTTTGTTCAGTGCTTGAATAGAATGAAGTCTTTTGAGCTTTGGAGGCGTGCAGGGCAGGTTGCCTCTACACTGATTGACCCCAGGATCAGAAGATCCTTGTTAGTTTGTGAATTTGCTTCTTATAGTCTGTCTCCTCCTTTGTCAATGTCTGTCGCCTCTGACTTCTGTCAGCGTGCCCATCTCTGAGTGCGCCTCCTTCTCGCCCATCTCTGAGGAGTGCGCCTCCTTCTCTTCTAAATTTGCGAAGTGGGTAATCTTTAGATGGATCTAAGAAGAATGAATAGGTCCCAAGTGAGGAGTTCTAAGTGAAATATATACCCCTTAGACCACAATCTTTTGACATTTCTATTCATTTGTTTCTGCTACACAAAGAAACTAGGTCTTATTCCTCAGAAATCTTTTTTTACGTATTGTTTCTCAACCTGAGGCTCTCCAAGTTGTCTTGTAAGTGAGGTAAGAGTACTCCCGTACCTTTCAAAAAGCAAGGCTGTGTGTATGAGGTCTGCACCAAATTTTTCCCCACTTTTTTGTTTTTCATCGTTTTGCAAAGAGCTGCCCCTAATCAAGCCCTCTTTTCCAGGCAGATAAAGCAGCACTGTTCGGAGCCTTTTACAGAATACTGGACCTGCATCGATTACTCCGGCTTGCAGTTATTTCGTCGGTGTCGCAAACAGCAGGCGAAGTTTGACGAGTGTGTGTTGGACAAACTGGGCTGGGTGCGACCCGACCTGGGGGAGCTGTCAAAGGTAACACAGTTTCCTGCTGCTCTCTCCCTCTCTCTCTCTCTCTCTCTCTCTCTCTCTCTCTCTCTCTCTCTCTCTCTCTCTCTCTCTCTCACTCGCTAAGGGTGGGGAAAGGCAGGGGGTGGTCCAGAATGGGTCTTCTGTGAGTACAGACCTGATGTGAGAAATCCAGACTGACCAGTCAGCTTAATTAGGGAGTGGTTATACACAGTCCAGAGGGAGTTTATTTAATAGAAGTGTTCCTTTAAATAGCTCACCCAGCATGTGCAGATTTGTTTGTGATTAATTAGCTAACTGAAGAACAGAAGGGAGTAGATGAGGATAAACAAAATGTTAGGGGCACCGTCAGTTGAAAACATTGAGTTAATTGTGGGGAAATAGGTTTGAGGTTATGCCAGATTTTTCAGGAACATACCTGAGATTAAAAAAAAAAAAAAGTAATGCCTATAGTTTAAAAAGCTTGTTTTTCTGTTCTTTCTCCCATATTTCCTGTCTCAGTTGTGACACCACCATCTGTTGAACCCTCAGAGGGAGAAACCTGAATGTCTTTTTTCTTTGCACTCTTTCTTCCTTTATCCAGTCCTCAATTCCGGTAGCGTCTCCTGGAATATTGTTTTGAATCCTCTCACTGTCCCCCACTTCCTGGACAGGAGTTCTTAACTGGGCTACATGAATTTCTGGGAGGGGAGGATGGATCACTATAGGCATGATCTGTGTGGAAAATAAGTCAAATATCACTTCCCTTTAAAAAAAAAAACAAGCAACTTTTCAAGGAGACTCCTATTTGCTTGCAAAACAAAGCATCCCCTCCATATCCTGACATGCCACAGCCCTTTGTGATCTGACCCATCCCTGGCTTCGTAAGCATTGTCACCCTCCATTCCCTCTGGGAAGCATAGGTAGCAAGGCTTGGAGGGAAGAACTCTGGTTTGAATGGAGACTGAGAGTGGATTTGAATGTTAGTTTCCTGACTTAATTGCTATGGGTCCTTGAGCAAACTTCTTAACATTTCCTATCCTACCACATTTATAAGATGGGACCAGTATTAATCCCTGTTTTTCTGTAAGGATTAAGCTACGGAGCCTGTGTGAATCCCCAGCATAGTACCTGGTACATAGGCCCACAGTTAATGTTCATTCCCTCCCTTTGTGTGTGGCATCTGTGGATAGTTGGGTCTTAAGCTTGTTGCCATAAGTAGAGGAATGGTTAAGCAATTTATTTATTTATTTTTTTGTATCTGGCATATCTTTACTTCGGATACCTTCTTTGTTGCACCAAACAAATTATTTTATTTATTTTTATTAAAAAAAAGATTGTATTGGGCTTCCCTGTTGGCGCAGTGGTTGAGAGTCCACCTGCCGATGCAGAGACACAGGTTCGTGCCCCGGTCCGGGAAGATCCCACATGCTGCGGAGCGGCTGGGCCCGTGAGCCATGGCCGCTGAGCCTGTGCATCCAGAGCCTGTGCTCCGCAACGGGAGAGGCCACAACAGTGAGAGGCCCGTGTACCGCAAAAAAAAAAAAAAAAAATTATTGAAATATAGTTGATTTACAATGTTGTGTTAGTTTCAGGTATACAGTAAAGTGATTCAGATATATATATATGTGTATATATATATACACATATATATATATTCTTCTATTTTTACATTCACTTCATTATAGGTTATTACAAGATACTGAGTATAGTTCCTTGTGCTATACAGTAGGTCCTTGTTGGTTATTTATTTTATATATATAGTAGTGTGTATATTTTAATTCCAAACGAACAAATTATTTTAAATAGTTGATAATTCTAAGTTGGAAAGTGATGGAACTTTTACACAGAATAAAGAAAACTACCTTTTCTCATTTCTGTCTCACGAAAGGAGAATTACAAATCATGTTGTTAAGAAAGCATTTTTATTCCTGAATCTTTGTAATAACATTTTTAAAAACCTATAAAAGGAAAAGGTACTGTTATCTGAACTCTTCAAAAGTGTATTTCTTTAAGAGGATTATCAGCTTTAGTTATACTTAAGTTCAGTATTCGGTCTCTTTCTAAGAACGGTCATAATTGGCTGGACAAAGCCTCCATTTTAGCGTCATTCACTTGTGCATTCTGGTTCCACTGGCTTGCCCTTCCCTCCTGTTTGCCCCCAGTGAATTCATACTCACTCGCCCAGTCTCAGCTCAGATGTCAGGTCTGTCTTTGAAGTTTCTTGCTTTCCTAGGCAGGATTGTGCTCTCTCACCCATAATTCCATTGTCCTGATAATATTAATATTGAAAATAACTAATGGAGCACCTGTTCCATACATCAGGTGCTTCATGTATATTACTCTAATAACCCTAGGAGCTACTACTAGCTCCGTTTTACAGATAGGAAGTTGAAGGTTAAGTCATCTGCCCAAGGTTATTTACCTAGTAATTAGTTTGACCACATGCTTCTGCTCCTTTTCTGTTTTGAGTGTGGTGCAGAAGAGGAAGTTGCTTTATTGTCCTTTCCCCAGTAATTTGTCCTTTAAAGGGGTCCTTTTATTTTTTCTAGATTTATTTCATAGACATCTTGAATTCCTTAAAGGAGCTTCAAATGCCAGCTGGAGGCATTTGGAATACTCTATCAAGCAGTAAGGAACCATTAGTGATCTCTAATTATAGCAGGGAGATGAGAAAACTGTTTTAAAAGCAAATAAAAAACTATTCTGGACTTGTAGTCAGAAGACTGGGGTTCCAGCTCCAACTCTGACATTTGCTGTGTCTTGATCTTAGACAAGCCAGCCATCTCTGCTCCTATTCCGTGAACTCGAGATAATTATGCCTCAGAGGGTGGTTATAATACGAATTATGTGATTGTGTCCATGAAAGCTCTGTTCACAATAGATGGTGTTTGAATTTGTACATCTGGGAAGATTGATCTGGTCGCAGTATGTGGAGTGGCTTAGGAGGCCGCCAGATAACAAGACTACTGATAACCATGGCCTTCTGTCTTTCTGCCTCTCTGGGCCTGTTTCCTCATCTTTAAAATGAGAACAGTTTTTCTGCTGGGTTTCTGATGGAGACTTCTGTGGGTTTCAGTGGGTGTAAAGCGCCGTCCTCCTCTCTCCCCGGGACCCCAGTTGGCTCCCTCTCTCGCCTGGCCCGTTGGCTCATCCCCCCTGTCTAGCTTCTGCTCCTTCCGGCCTGGCCTGCAGACGTGAGTAAGTTACTTCCCTGCTCCAGTGGCACCTGTTGCCCTTGGGTTAAACTTCAGGCATCTTTGCGTGTCGTTCATCACCTGGCTCCCGTGTCTCAGTGTCGAGCGTTCTGTGAGAGCACGGGCTTTGGAGCAGGCAGATCTGACTTCAGGTCCATCCACCGTTAGCTGGGGGGTCCCAGTGAAGCTGCAGGTTGACCTCCGAGGAGTGTGAGAGTGAACTGGAGTAACACGCTTGGCGTCATGTCTAACAACAGGACGTGCTTGGTGCCTCTCCCTGCGCTCTGCGTGCAGCCCGTGCTTCGGCTGCCCCAAGGCCGCGCCCCTCTGTCTCCGTGTGCACTGTTGGCTTCCTGGAAGGTCTTTTCCTCTCTAATCTTCCTGGTTGGCTCCTGCTCACCCTTCAAGAGGAAAGTAAACGTTGCCCCCTCAGAGCCAGGCCAAGGACGCATGGCCGTGCGGAGGAGGCCTTGCTGTCCTAGCGCTCATTCGTCTCTCGGTCACCGTGACCCGCTTAGGAAGGCCTGGGTGCTTTTCACCGAGGCTCTCTAATCTTCCTGGTTGGCTCCTGCTCACCCTTCAAGAGGAAAGTAAACGTTGCCCCCTCAGAGCCAGGCCAAGGACGCATGGCCGTGCGGAGGAGGCCTTGCTGTCCTAGCGCTCATTCGTCTCTCGGTCACCGTGACCCGCTTAGGAAGGCCTGGGTGCTTTTCCTTCACCGAGGACAGTGTGAATAGTGCTCTCTTCCGATCCCTAACTTCTTGCATGTGGAACGACACAAAGTAGGCCTTCTTCAATGTTTATTCAGGGTAAGTGTGATTTGCTAGGGCTTTATGGATGGGGAGTGGCTGAGGCAGCCAGAGCGGAGAGGAGACCCCAGGAGGTGTGTTCATGGTCACAGCTTCTCCACCTGCCCCTCAGCTCTGCTTGTCCTCTTTTACCCGCTGCAGGTCACCAAAGTGAAAACAGATCGGCCTTTACCAGAGAATCCCTATGACTCAAGAGCAAGGCCAGAGCCCAGCCCTGAGATGGAAGGAGATCTGAAGCCCGCCAGACATGGCAGCCGCCTCTTTTTCTGGAGCATGTGAAGATGGGTCCGTGGCCCACACCCAGTCATGCACCCAGGCAGTGGGTGATGAAAACTCTCCTGTAGTTTCATCAACCGATAGAGGGCTCTTTCCAGGATCACAAACATTAACAAAAACATTAATTTATGTGACTTGGCAGTTATTCTATACCATTTCCTGCCCATTAAAAAATTTAAAGGAAACAGTTGTATTTTATTATGTTTTATATAACCTTTTGGCCTTTAAAGATGACTTCCCCTTGCTTTTTCTGCTTGTGGTCCTGCCTGTTCCTTTCTCTTTGCTTCAAGTAGGCATTTGCCAGTGTGGCAGGTGGGGTCACGGACAACTGACTGTGTAAAGGAAAGGCTTTGTTACCTGAGACAGCGCCTCGGGGCCAGTGTGGGTTCACACATTTTGAAATCTCAACTTTCTTTCTTCCCATCCAGCATCTCTGACAAATAGAGTTCCCTGAAGGTCATACAAGGGAAGCATCCAGGATAGGAGAAGTGCAGAAACACTTGAGCCTTGTGACTGAGGCCATGGGCGGGGCTCCTGGCTTGGTCTTCTGCACTCTCGCTCAAAGTTTCTTAAAGAACCAAACTTCCACCACTTCCCCTTGATATCCCATCCTCAAGCATTATAACCCAGATGTTTTTCCTGATAGACAAGGGAGTTGGAGGCTGAGCTCCCAGCTCCAAAGCCAGGAAGTCGGGAGGTCTGAGTGTCAGTTCCAGCCTTGGGTGTGTTTCTTAACCTCTTGTGAGAGGTTGAATTTGAGGACAAACTAAAGGGAACATGCTTATCTACCTCCTGGGCAGGTTAAAGCCACAAGTATTTATAAAGCTCTTTGGTTCAAAGCACTGTTATGTCTTTCTTTTCCCTTTCATTCAATTCCTTTTTCACTACTAGGCTATTTCCTCTCCATCTGACTGGGGGTCACTTTACACCTTCTGGTCGTGGCCTTATATTGCATATGACCCTGCGTAAGTCTCAGCTCCCTGGGCCTTGCTTTCCCATTTGCAGAGCCGTGGAAAGCAAAGTTGTATGGAGTCTTTATAAAGGCCTTTCCAACTCCTAGGTACTCGAAGTGGGGAGATTGCGGTGAGGCATTAGTCTTGCCCAAAGTGTTAGGACAGAACACGAAGCATTGGAAGATGTGCCTTGCCCCCCACCCAGTTCTGACCCCTTATTTGGGAGCATTTTGGGTAAACCTTACTGGTCTTCAAAAACTTGCCAGCCACCGTTGCCTTATTCTCCAATTTCAGAAGAAAAAGAATAGATTCTTAAATTTTTAAAACAGCTAAGGCAACACCCATTAACCCCTTGCGGGCCAAGTCATTGGAAGTCATCCCTGGTGGGGAAAGTACAAGCATGCCTGCAGATTTGTTTTTATGATAACCTCAGACTATGTGTTGCTCCCTAGGTTCTTTCTGCAAAGGAAGCTGGGACTTGCATCAGTAATAACAAATATTCATTGAGCACTGTGCCTTGTGCCCAGTGCTTTACATGTGTCAACTCCTTCAATACTCAGAGCCCTTTGAAAGAGTTTCTGATATGTCATTTCACAGGTGGAGGAGCGAACGCCTAGGGAGAGGTTAAGAAGCCCCATTCCTCCTTCCTATATGAAATAGTGGATGTAGGATACAAATGAAAATTGTCTGGTTCCAGTGGCCGCATCCTTGTCCTTCAAAGTCATCAGTGGTTCTCAGCCTTGTCTGCACGTTGGAATCACTGGAAGGCCCTGAAATACTGATGTTGGGATCCTACCCCGGAGAGATTCTGATGTAATTTGTCTGCACTATGGCCAGGCCATGGAGGTTTTGAAAGCTCCCCAGGTTGCTCTAAGGTGGAAACCAAGGTCTAGGGCCCCTGACTGATTGAAGCAGGTCCAAGAGGTTAAGTGCTAGCAGGTAGTTAAGTGGCTGAGATTTAAACCCAGATACGCCTGATTCCAAAGCCCTTGGTCGTCCTCTGTTCCGATGCATATACATCACCTGAGGTCTTATTAAATGCAGATTCTAATTCGATAGGTCTGGAGTGACATCTGAGATGTCTAGTAAGTTCTTGGTGCTAATGTTGCTGGTCCATGGACCACACTTTGGGTAATGAGGGAATAAACCACAGCATCTGAGTGCAGGATCTATGATTAATCTATCTGGCTGCAGTGTCTAGCACCAGGCCCTCCCTGAAAGTTAATTCACTTCTTCAGAATCAGAGCAACAAGTCTTGAACTGTTAATGGCTTCAAATTCGACTGTAGGATGTTTTAACTTCTGCCCAAGTTGGACAGAAGTTCTTGCCTTGCCCCCTCCTTGCTTTGAATTTCTTGAACGAAGAAATTCACTTTGCCTTTCCTGTATTCTTGATGGAATCACACCACATCATAGCCTTCTAGGACTGAAGAGTCTTAAGTAAAGACAGAATTCCTAAAATCTCTCACCCCAGACGGGTTCACAATTTCAGTAGGTAAAAAGGTCACAGCCCAATTTGAAAGCAGTCGGTGCGAAGAATCTCTGAGCAGGGCGTCAAATAATAGTCAGAAAATCTTCCTGCTGGTTTGGCTTAAGAATAATGAGGCTGACTCCTCACATTCCCAAAGGAAATTTATCTGCCCCCTTTCCTCTGCCAAGCCTGTTCCTGTCTTCCCTATCGGAGGGAATGGCGTCTCCATCCTTCCAGTGTCAAAACATGAGATGCTCCCGTGACTCCCGCGCACTGCTCTCCGTGTTTCAGTCCCACAGCAAGTGCTGTTGAGTTCCTTCTATAACCTCTCACATCTGTTACTTCCTCTTTTATCTCAACTGTCACTGTCCTAGCCTGGTTTTGTTCCCCTTGCTTGGATTATTAACACCACTGCCTAACTGGTCTCCCACCGCCGTCTCGCCATCCAGACCATGCCCCAACTTGCTGCCGTGCCTCTGCCACTCGAAAACCTTCAGTGGCTCCTGAATGGCTATTAACTAAAGCCCAGATCCTTACCGGCATCCCGACACTCTGTAATCTGCCCTTAGCCTGGCCCATTTCCCGTACCACTATATTACTCCTTGTCACAGACCCTACAGTCACCCAAATGCCATTCCTCAAGAGTGTTTTCCAACTTCCAAATCTTCACTAATTCCGCCACCATCCACTTGCTGGGAAACAATCCTGCCCCCATCTCTGCCTCTTGAAAGTCGACCCATCTCTCAAGGCAAACACTAATGCTGTCTTCCCCAGGAAACGTCCCTTCCTACAGCCACAGGTGCTCTTCCCTGCCCCTGTGTTCCCATGACACAGTATGGCATGAGGGTTAAGCACAAGGACTCTGGAGTTGGGCTGTCTGGATCTGAATCCAGGCTCTGTTGTTTCTTAGCTATGTGACCCCAGGCAAGTTACTTAACCTTTCTGTACTTTCTTTTCCTCATCTGTAAAATGGGGGGAACAATGATAGTACCTACATCCTGGGATGGCTCTGAGGATTTAATGAGGTTTACACATGAAATGCTTTGAACAGTGTTGGCAAATGGTAGCAATTGTCACAGCACTCTATTTGAGTAATACCTGTCATGGCACTGGATGTTATCTTGTTTCCCCTGGTCTTAGTACTGTAAGATCTGGCCTTCTATCTTATTTATATGTCTATATTCTAGTGCCCAATACATGGAAGACATCAGAAAATGATTAAACTATACCCCACGTTTATCTTTCTGAAGAACTTCCAACCCCCCTCCTTGCTATAGAGCAACAAACCAACACATTAATTATGTAGAGATAGGAGTAAATCTTTTTTTTTTTTTTTTTTTTTTTTTTTTTTTTTCTGGGCCATATCAAATAGTTTAATATTCACAACAACCACTAAAGTAAATGTTCTCACTGTTTTTACAGGCTCATAGAATTTATTTACCGAAAGTTAATTTGTCTATATAAAAGACTAGCCAGTAGCTGTGCAAAGCTCCTATTTTATCCAGTAAGTCATGGTGCCTCTCATGCTTCAGAAGACTTGAGAGCTTTTTGCGGTATGTGGGCCTCTCACTGTTGTGGCCTCTCCCGTTGCGGAGCACAGGCTCCGGACGCGCAGGCTCAGCGGCCATGGCTCACAGGCCCAGCCGCTCTGCGGCATGTGGGATCCTCCCGGACCTGGGCACAAACCCGTGTCCCCTGCATCGGCAGGTGGACTCTCAACCACTGCGCCACCGGGGAAGCCCAGGAGTAAATCTCTGAGATTAAATTGCCATCTTTGTAGGTATCAAGTCCTAGCTGAAATGCTTTTTGGTATAACCAAAGATGTACTCTTATGCTCTGAAATGGATCATGGCTTACTTCGGCTTTAAATATACCAGTTGCTTCTACCACATAGGAAGTCTCTGTTTGGGGTTGTGACACCTCTTTGTGTCTTGAGCATTTGTAATATGTATCACAAGTAATTTTACTAAGATACTAAAATTCATAAATGTATTTGCTTAAAAAAAATAAATTAGAACAGTCAAGAGATTAGGGAGAGGTGACCCCAGACTTTATCTGAGGAGTAGATCTGGGTGGTAGATCTGAGAAACAAATGTGGGTTGTCTGGTTCCAAGGCCACACTCTAATTCTTCAGAGTCATTGAATCTTATCCTTGGATGCACATTGGAATCACCTGGAGACCTTTAAGTACTGATGTCCAGATCCCACCCTCAGATCCTCCAGTTTCATTGGTGTGTGGTGTGGCATGGGCATACAGATTTTGTAATAAATAATATTGCACCTGCTCACTTATGCTCAACCATACTTTCTTCAATGGGAGGGAAGGGGTATAGTTGCAGCTAGAACCCTGGAAATACATTCATTAATTCTTTAATTCATTCAGCAAATATTTGACGTCTTGCTTTGTGCTACTTACCATTCTAGGCAGGAATGATGAGCAAGACAGACAGGGGCCCTGCTCTCATGGGGCTTCCATTCCAGTGGGGAGGCAATAAACAGGTAAACAATGTGAAGGGTCAGTGTGAAAACGAATAGCCGGAGGGTGAGGATGTACTTAGAAAGAGAGGCCATGGAGGGTCTCTCAGAGGAAGTGGCATTTGAGCTTCCCCCTCAAGGAACAGCCAGTTAGAGGGCTGATGGAAGCGTGTCCCAGCCTCAGGGAACCACAGGAGCAAACCCCTGAGGCAGGACAGGGCTCTGTGTGCTTCAGGAACAGTCTGCCCGGAGTGTGGTTTTGTGGGTACAAGCGCAATGCAGTTGCA